AGTTTCAATTCATTTGATAAGGGATGAGATCAAATACTGATGGCTAGGGAGGTTCGACAACCTATAATGCACAGATGCGAAGAGGCCGTTGAAGCTGGACCGTTCACCTGGAACATCGTTCAAGATCCTCTGCCATCCACTTTTATCCCTGCGGGTTTCTTCTATGGCAGAACAGGAGATCCTATGTACCATTTATACCGCTTTAAGAGCGTAGCCATCTTGCACTTATATATGAATGGGATAAAGTGTCGTGCCTTCGTAACTACTTCATCAAAAAATGTTCAATTGTGGTTCAACAATTTACCTCGCCAATCCGTTACGTCCTTCGATGATTTTAGCGCGAAATTTCTCCGTAATTTTTCAAGTTTGAGGAAACAGCAGAAGACAGCTATGATCCTTTTTCCCATGAATCAAAAAGAGGGCGAGGATTTGTGTGAGTACGTGCGACGATTTTCGGCTGCGACATTAGAAATCCCGACCACTCCGCCAGAAATCTTGGTCAGCGCTTTCATACAAGGATTACAAGAAGGATAGTTTTCTACGTCATTAGCTAAAAGAAGTGAATCCTCATTTGCGGAGTTATTAGCACGAGCTGAGAAGTTTATAAATTTGGAGGACTACCAGAAAATGAGAGAAGGAGATCGCATCCGAGAAGTCGGAGTCGCGGAGAAACGCCATCGTTCATCAGCTCGCATACATGCGCGACCTGGTGAACAAATATCGAATCCCATCACGACCTTTAATGGGAATTCAAGAAGGACAACAATCGATCCCGAACGTCCCTGGGAAAGACAAATCTCTCCGCACTCAAGGAGTATCACGATTTAAGATAGGGGATCTATGATTTGATACTTATACAAAGTTCAGTATGTCTAAAGTAGCTAATATTGGGGGTTATGACGTGTCCCACATATTTGTGGATAATGGTAGGGCAGTTGACTGCTACAAACAAATGGATCTAAACGCAAACATCTTCCCTGTTTCGACTATGTTGTACGGATTCAATGGAGGAGCAGTTCGTCTGTGGGTCAAGTCAAGCTGACATTGGCATTGGGAACCGCCCCACTTGTCAAAATAAAGACAATGAACTTTATGACCGTGGAAGCAGTGGGCTCTTCTTATAACATGATATTCGGCAGGCCGATGCTTAATACTTTCCGAGTTATCCCCTCCACGTATCATATGAAACTTAAATTCCCTGTTGGTACAGAAGTGGGCGAGGTAATTGGGGACCAAACAGATTCGAGATCTTGTTACGTTGAATCTGTTCGGCAAGGAGAAAGGATGACGAGAGTCGGAGGGCCACAAGAAGAGATCACAAAAGAGAAAAAAATGCGACTCAATTCGGGCAAGGGTCCCGAAGGAATGGATACCAATGAAGAACTAGCAGATGTTGAATTAATACCCAGTTGTTCTGAATCACTCGAATAGGTGGCAATCTAAGGAAGGATATCCGACTAGGATATATCAGTTGGTGGACTAAACGACTGGATGCGAACTCTAAACTATAGAAAAGAAGTAAAACTAAAAGTTATTAAAAATATAAAACAAATATATATATAGAAATACAAATATATTAGGTACAAATTTTGGTGGGGAGCTGTTTTTGGAGTACATTCATAAGGACAATATAGTCATTTCAATGCAGTCAACGGGCTTTATTTGGATAGGGGACGGTAGGCTAAATAAAACACGTCATAGGGGGTCAATGCCAATTATTTTAACAAAGGACTTTTATGGAAATTAGACATTTCACAGGGGGTCAATGCATTTAACTGTATATCATAATCATACTCTAACTTATCACCAATCACTAATTTCTTCAAGAATTATTCTATATGAAAGCTAAACTCTCTAAATCATTTTATTAAGTTCAGTCATGCTATTAAGGTTATGCATCAAGAGTTTAAAACACGCTCACAATTAATTCCGTCAATTCAAAGAAATTCATTTTAGAAATTATGCTAGTTTTAGTACTTTAACTTTGAAAAACACATTGACGCAGAACGGAAGCACGATAAAGAATTAATTTCTACGAATTAATCCTATAGAACACGATAACTCTGGAATCCACCAGATAATTGAGAGAAAACTCAAAAATTTAATTAATAATGAAAGATGCTGAAAAATAAACCCTAGAGCAACTATTTATACTAAAGAAAACGAAAAAACCTAATCAAACTAGGAAAACGAGAAAATAACCAAAAAAGGCAAAAAAACGAAATAACTCCTAAACCTAATAGAATACTGAAAGTTGGAAACATCCCAACTTGCGGAATTCAAATCCGATTTTTCTAGAATTAATTATGAATTATTTCAAACTTTCCTAAAATAGCAAAAACGTGGTTTTGAAGGCCTAAACGACCTCTAAACGCTAAAATCCATCGCACATCACAACATAGTAATGTGTTTAACTCCCCTCGTCGTTCCGGTTTGGAAAAACTTGGCCCCACACAATTCCGGCTCCGCCACCTCTGCATCACACATTCTCTATGATCACGCATCCAAAAATTTTGTAACTTTAACACAATACTCTTTCATAAGTTTGAAATACCCCTTTAAAATATGTTTCTAAAATCATTAACCAAATAAGAGAAATACTTAAAACCGTGCAGCTCTGATGTCAAAATTCCAGACATATAGCAGTGGCTTCCAAAATACCAGATAAATTATATTTTTATCAAAACACCGTGAAATTTTGAAAGAGATTATTTTACAAGTCTAATAATTAATCCAAGTAGAGTCACCAAAATCAAAATAGTAGAAGATGAGATTTAACATGCATTGCTTTCATGACTCACAATTTCTGCACTTTGGAGAAATAAATCACAACTTAATCATTGAAATCTAAATAATGCACATTTTATATCAAATGAAAGGCAATCAAGAAATCTAGCTTCTATAGAAATTTTACATTTTTCTAAAAAGCAATCCTTTGTGAAACGTGGCTTAAACTCCATAACTACGAATCTGTAAATTTCAATTCTAATCATCTAGTTCAAGATTTGAATCCCAATTAACCTATAATCATAAAACCCAACCTTAAACATAATATTATCATAATGACATCAATAAACTTAACATGTAATTTAATTTCAATAAAGACCAAGGCGTCCTTACCCATTTGAAGAAAATCAAAGACAAGGGAAGGAGAAATCGAAGGATTCTTGGAGGTTTGACATGGAGGTCTTCAAGATTTGGCCATGGAAGATCTTGGGAAGCTTTGGGTTGAGTTTCAAGGCTATTTTATTGGAGGTTATTGATGAGAGAAATCTTTTGTAAGTGTATGTTGGATTATTGCAAGGAAAGAAGAAGGAGAATAGCTAGCTTCTTTGTGAAGAACAAGAGAATCCTTTGGGAGTATTTGGGGGAGTGGGTTGTCATGGGCTTGGGAGGAGAGAAGGGAGAGGAATTTTGGCTGATGTTTGGTGTGGAGAAGATAAGAGAAGAGGGTGTTGGTATATATAGAATTGGAGAGGATTGGATCTTAATGAGTAAGTATTGAAGATGGATCTTTTTGCAATTTGGAGAAACACATAATTATCTAGAGCGACTTCTTGGCAATTCCACTTAAACTCTCTTAAAGTAAATGTTAAATGAAAAATCAAGTGGAAATGCACATGGACTAAGTGTATGCATGCAACACATATAATCATAGCCAATTTAAAGAGTTTCTTGAAAAATTACTATTTTAATTATCTATACTTAGAGAATAATTTATTTCAAAGCCAACTTCACTTAGTGTAAAATTGGTTAACACATTTATGCATGTACCATAGAACCAACCATACATTTTGATACAATAAGCAAAATAATGAAGCATTTACATTTTCTAGTCTGAGAAAATAAATTCTTATCTTACTAAAATCAAATCCACTTAGATCACATAATTTCATGTGTTCAATTGTATTAAATACATGAAATGACTTTAAGTTGCACAAATAGAGAATAAAATCAGGAATATTCATGTACAATATAATCCACATTAGTTCACATAATTTCACATAAATAGAAAATCAAGGAAATTTAAAAGCAACTGTAATTAATTTTGCACATAACTCACAACTCCAAGCAAATGTGACGTGGGGAAAAATAGGTAACTTTTTTTTTGAAGAAAAAACGATGAGCATAACACGCCAAGTTGGGAGGTACAGATGAATCCTCCAAACAAGTTAAGTCTGAATAACAATGCCGTTTAACAAAAGAAAACGAGGAACTATTAAAAGTTTTGGCAGTAATTTTAATTTCCTCTATAAAAGCACCATAGGACGTGAGAGAATGATCTTCGTCTTGAAGGGCTTCGATAATATTCAAGCAATCCCCTTCCATAATAAAGGCTGGCCAACCTTGACAGGATGCTTTAAGGATCGCTTTAACAGCGGCGTGGGCTTCCCCTTCGATTGGACGAATCATACCCGGTATCTTTTCTACGCTCTACCATATCATATGCCCCAATGAATTCCTAGCCACCATAGCCGTCGAATAGAAATTGCAGCCCAGCGGGATAGCCACGCCATAATTAACCTTAACGACCCTATGTGGAGGAGGCTGCCAGGCTATGGGATTAGACCGTTCCTTCAAGGGAAGGGTAGGAGATCGCGCCTCGTTAAACATGACCAAATAGATTTTGCACCAAGGCACTTACTCATCAATTCTGAATCCGGATTCTCCATGGATGATATTATTCCGCAGATCCCATAGCTTCCAGCACACCACCACCGCAAGTAAAAAATTGTCATTGCTCAAACTCATTTTGAGAAATTGTAGCCATGTCCAGAAGGATAGAAACTCTCCATTCAGCTTCAAGTTAAAAGGGGAACCAAGCCAAAGCTGCAATATACTTCGGCAGCCAAGGACCACATGCAGGATCGTTTCCGGTTGATCATTACACAAAATGCAAAATGGAGAGTTTGAGATGTGACGTCGGAACAACTCTGCATAAGTAGGAAGAATGTCCGAGATCGATCGCCATACAAAGTGCTTGATCGTGGGAGGGATTTTCAAGTTCCATACCATTCTCCACATCTTTTTGCGCTCGTCACAATTCGAATACGGACCACTCTCCAAACGATGACCAATAGAGGTAGGCTAGCGTGAATGGCATGATAACATGATTTCACAGTAAACTTACCCGTGTTGGAGAGATGCCATATGATTCGGTCTTTCACGTTGCAACCGCCAATGGGGACCGCCAAAATACGGGCTTGGTCGATAGGCCAGAAGGTGTCTTTAATCATATTCATATTCCATGTGCGTGTCCCTGTCTTGATCAAGTCCGAAACCGTATTAGGAAAAGAGTGACTCGGCCGTTTCGTAAAGATCTGTCCATTCCCATTGACCATTAACGAATGGTTGCCCCAAATAGACATTGTAGTGCCATCTCCAATCCTCATACGACTCCCTGTTCTAACAAATGGGCGAGCAACAACCAAGCTTCTCCAAGTAGCTGAAGGCCGAGGACCGAGTTCTGCCGTCCAGATGTCGCCGGTTGGGAAATAGCGGGACCTAAGAATTCTTGTTAACAAAAGATCCGGATTTGTGAGGATTCGCCATACTTGTTTTGCAAGCATCGCGAGATTAAAACTTCAAAGATCACGGAATCCCATCCCACCATCCTCCTTTGGTTTAGAAAGTTTATGCCAACTCAACCATGCCATTGATTTCGATCTTTGACCACCCCACCAGAATTTACGTATGGCCGACTCAATCTGTATAATCAATCCCGTCGGAATGGAGAAGCAACTCATGATATTCGACGGGATTGCCTGAAGAACCACTTTTATTAGAACCTCCTTTCCGGCCTTAGATAGTAATTTCTCTCACCAACCATCAATGCGAGCCCAAACTCTGTCCCACAAAATCGAAAGATATTTTTCCGAGTTTTACCTATAGACGTTGGCATTCCAAGATACTTGTCGTGCCTCTCAACTACTTGAAAACCTAGAATGGCATGGATCGATTCCTTAATGTTTGCGGTCGTCATCGGGCAGAACGCAAGTGTCGACTTCTCCACATCAATCACCTGCCCCGAAGCAGCAGCATAATCGCTTAGAATACACCGAAGAGTAACAGCATTTGTGTCGGTGGCTTGACAAAACACCAACATATTGTCCGCAAAACAAAGAGATGCCATCATTGGAGCCGTTGGAGCTATTCAGATCGCCTCAAGTTCCCCACTAGTCACAGCATTTAATCCACAAAAAAATAGTTTAACATGAAACCGACCCATTATTAATTATTTAAAAAACAATAAATTAATATTATTAGTAACATAAATTATATATTTTTTATTTAACTATATTTTTAATGTTCAAAAATCTAAAATAGAACAAAATATATTTATTAATAATATATAAAATATTTATTTATTGATCTCAGAATTGTGTTATAATTATCAAGTAATGAACTTATATTTATTTTCTTGTAAATATTATAATTATATACTTAATAATACTGATAAAATTGAAGGTGAAACCAAAGAAAAACATATTTGGCTTCATACTCAACAAACCAATAATTATTTTATAAAAAAAATATTGTTAACAAGAAAATTATATTTATATATTTATTATATTATTTCAACATTAAGATATTTGAAATTTTGAATAGATTTATTCATAATATATAGTAATTTAATAGAAAATTAACCTTAAAATTATAGCAGCTAATTTTTTTACCATATATTACTGTAACTATTGGATAATATTATCATTAAACATTAGGTATTAAAATTATAATTATTTTTTAATTATCAAATATGAAACTAAAATCAATCAAAATATTATTATTTCATTTCCGATTTCATTATTTGTACGTACCAAACATGGGAATGACAACATCCCTAGCATTTCATTCCACCTTATTCCATTTCTCACCCTCAACTTATTTCATTCCTACCTTATTCCATTCGTTCATACCAAGCATGCCCTTAGTATATATATGTCTTAGTTTGAGGTATTGTAATAGACACAAGAAATACAATAACACATGTTCTTCTTCTTCTCTCTTTACTTTACATGGCATCAGAGTCAAGGACAAAACCCTAGGCTTCTTCTTCTTCTCTTCAAACCTCTTCTCTCGAAAATACACATTCTCAGCCCCATCTCTTTTCACCACCCACTCCATTTACTTTGTCGGCCAATGATCTGCGCCGCCCACCTTTTCCGCCGCCAAAAAACCGCGCGTGTGAGACCCACGCGCCTCCAAAATATTTCATTCCATCGTTTGCTTCGTATTCATAAAATTGGTGCACATTGGTTATGAATATGTTATAATAGTTGGTCAAGTGTGTTATGTAAAATATATAATTATGTAAATAAAAAAAGTAAACTTTATAATATGCTTGTTTATGGATGCACTTTTTGCAAATAAATTTATCACATGTAAACTCTACATATATTGGTAATTGTTGTGAAACCATATTTATATATGGGCGAATGGCAAAAGGGCCCATCACATGGGACTTAAATGCATTTTGGTCCACAAAAAAAACAGTCTCTCAATTAAACCCATCCCCATGTCTTTAGTCTAAAATACCCTCCATAATATAATTCTTATCAATTCCACTCATTATGCTCTAACTTCCTTAATATTACACATTGACCCCGGATTTAAACAAATATATCACATTAACCCCCAAATTTTTTTTTTTAGAAAATAATTTTTTTTCTGAAATGTTTTTTTTCCAGCCAGATTCCGGCGTTGACTTTTTTTTTTTTAAACTTTTTTTTTTCCTGAAATTTTTTTCGGCCGGTCAACCAACGTTGACCGCCGGCCTCCGGCGTTGACTTTTTTTTTGTTTTTTTGAATTTTTTTTCTTAGAAAAAAAATATTTTAATTAATATTACTATCTTGACTACTAAATTACTGTCTCAGACAGTAATATTACTGTTTGGGACAGTAATATTATGAATATTATTTTCCCGAACAGTAATATTATTAATATTATTGTCTAAGACAGTTAAATTACTGTTGAATACAGTAATTTAGCAGCCAGTGCAGTAATATTAATTAAAATAATTTTTTTAAGAAAAAAAATTAAAAAAAACAAAAGTCAATTAACAGTTAAATTACTGTCTCCGACAGTTAAATAACTGCTGGAGAAAATAATTTAGCAACGAATACAGTAATATTAATTAAAAATAGTTTTTTCAAGAATAAAAAAAGTCAAGTAATAGTTAAATTACTGTCTCCGACAGTTAAATAACTGCTGGAGACAGTAATTTAGCAACGAATACAATAATATTAATTATAATATTTTAAAAAAAATCAATTAACAGTTAAATTACTGTCTCTGACAGTTAAATAACTGCTGGAGACAGTAATTTAGTAGCAAAGACAATAATATTAATTAAAATATTTTTGAAGAAAAAAAAAAGAAGTCAATTTACAGTTAAATTACTGTCTCCGACAGTTAAATAACTGTCGGAGACAATAATTTAGCAGCCATGATGGTAATATTAATTAAAATATTTTTTTTAAGAAAAAACAAAATTATAAAAAAAAAAAAAAAAAAAGTCAACTCTGGAGACCGCGGACAACGGCAGTTGACCGGCCGGAAAAAGAAATTCTGGGGAAAAAGGGTTTTTCAAAAAAAAAAAGTCAACGCCGGAGACCGGCGGTCAAAGCCGATCAACGGCGGCGACCGGCGGTCTCCGGTGGTGGCGGGTTAAAATTGGGGTCAAGATTGAAATTAGGGTTAAAATTGGCTAATTGATGAAATTGGGCTAAATTGGGGTGTAAATCATGAAATTGGAGTTGAATTGGGTTTCAATGAATTGTGGGTAATATTGGTATATATAAATGGATTTTCCTTATTTGCAAATAAGTTTGAATGAGCTGGATTTATTTGAAAGACAAAAAAGTTGGATGCCCCTATTTTAATTAAGTGCCCTTGTCATGGGCCTATTTGCCATTTACCCTTTATATATTATTATTGTCTATAACTATTTAATGAAAGATATGGCATATTTTGTGTTAAGTACCAATGTGATTTTAAATGGGGTCATTACAAATAAGCCCATCAATGGGTACTTATTCATAAAGAGATTCAGACAAAAAACTCATTTACCAATAAGTCCATACATGGTTCAGATTTTTGTAAAAGACTAAAATAGCTCCTCATACTTTAATATGCTCTAATTTCATCATTAACTTAATTTAACCTCAATTTGACCCCAAATTTCACAAATTATTCAATTTTGACCCAAAACGTTTTTTTTTGCCGCCGGATTCCGGCGTTGACTTTTCAATATTTTTTTTTCTTCCTGATTTTTTCGCCGGTTTCCGGCGTTGAATTTTTCGATTTTTTTTTCTTTCTTTTTGTATCATTTTTTTTTCTTTGTCAATATTGATGTGATTGTAGTAATATTAACTATATTACTGTTAAACACAGTAAAATTAACTAAACTACAGTTTAACACAGTAATATTGCTATATTAATCTCTAGCACAGTTATATTAACACAAAAAAACTCATTATTATTGTGTAATAGAGTAATATTACTATGTTGACCGTTCAACAAATGTAAACATAATAAAAAGCCAAAAGAATTAATATTACTGTGAGTGACAGTAATATTACTATAACAACAGTAATATTACCGTCAACCACAGTAATATTACAATAATAGACAGTAATATTATTACGTTACTCCGTGAATAACTCAAACAAACAAAAAAATCCAAACAAAATAATAATATTGGTGTGGTTGACAACAATATTACTATAACAACATAATATTACCGTCAACCACAGTAATATTATTGTGTTTACAGTAATATTACAATAATAGACAGTAATATTATTACGTTACTCCGTGAATAACTCAAACAAAACAAAAAACCCAAAAAAATAATAATATTGATGTTGTTGACAGTAATATTATTGTGTTTTCAGTTATTTTACTGTCAACGACAGTAATATAATTACGTTAACTTGTCAATAAATCAAACAAAATAAAAATAAATAACAAAAAATAATAATATTACGTTAATTTACTGTCAACGGCAGAACAATTACATAAATGTATTGTCAACGGCAGTACAATTACGTTAATTAACTGTCATTGACAGTATAATTACGTTAATTTACTGTTAGTGACAGCACAATTACGGTCAACGTTTAGCGGCGGACGTAAAAAAAAACAAAAAAAAAAGTGAAAAACTTAAAAAAAAACTTAAAAACAACACAAAAAAAATCAACGCCGGAGACCGGGGAAAAAATCCGGAAAAAAAAAAAAAAAAAAAAAGTCAACGCCAAAATTCGGCGTCAAAAAAAATTTGAAAAAAAAAGTTTTTGAAAAGAAAAAGTCAAAATTGAATTTTTGTGGTCAAAATTGGATTTTTGTGGACAAAATTGATTAAATAGGGGTTACAATTAAGAATTGAGTATAAAAAGTTGGGGATAGTATTGGCATATACATGAATGTTTCCTTTATTTATAATAAATATTAAAGTGATGAGCTTATTAATGAAATACATATAGCCCCTAAACCTAGAATAATAAAGATACTTGGTTGGAGACTTATGCACAAAAATCCCTTAACTGTAGTTAAGTGACTACGAAATAT